CTTTTGGTAAAATACAGTGTGTCCAGCCTGAGGGGTACGTGGTGACGTCAGTGCCCCTCCCCAACGCGAAATTACATCCCCCGGTCGAAGACACGTGACCCTGTGGCGCAACGCGTTGGGGAGGGGCACTGACATCACCACGTACCCGACTCCTTGGAACGGCGAGTACAGGCAGTGTGTGTCCTCACACCGCTCAGGCTGGACACACTGTATATACCAAAAGTGCTGAATGTTTTTCGGGCTGCGTTTTCTGAAGTAGTGCAGGGACTTCTTCCTTGCGTGTCCCGGGGCACAGTAGCCCATTCAAATGAATGGGCTCTTGTGCCCACGCAAATTGCAGCCCACATGACCGCACAGATGTGAACAAGGACTTATAAAGAAATGATAAGTACCTGAAATATATAAAATAATAAAAAAGAAAGAAAGCCTAAAAAGAAAACTAATGCAGCTATCACATCTAAGGATTGGTAAACTGCTGTATAATAAATGTTTGCTCTTGGGTTTAATACTGCTTATATGCATATGTGCCGTGGCAAAGAGGGTGAGCTTTAACGGCCGCATGCCACACATGCACCAATGGGACAGCTGAGGTTTCTGTGCTGAAAATGCGCACGCTGCTTGCTCTCAGCACAGAGATTGATCTGTGAAAGACTGGTCTTGAGTTAAGCCTAGTACACACAATGAGAAAACTGGATGAAAAATACTGCTTTGGAAGCAGTTGTTCGATAATCTGTTAGTACACAGCTTTCAAGAGCCGGTAAATGCACGATTTTCGTTTAATCAGTAAGGTATTCGTCTGAAAAAAAAGAGAGATCAAGACTGCGCATGCTCACAATACATTACAACACAATACAAAATATTACATTACTTTGTATTGTGTCTTTTATATTCTGTGTTACGAGATTTAAAAAAAATGCAAGAAAACCCCAGACAATCATTCGTCCGATATTCTCACCGTGTGTACAAATCCCAACCCTGTGTCCACTGTGAGAGCCAACCCGGCCCCTGGGCATAGTAGTCCAGTTAAAGGGATGTTGGGGCAGGGCAGGATTGGGTTCACAAATACAGAGCTGCATTCATTTTTGTCTTTTATATCTGTCTGCATCTCATCTTTAAATTAAATTGGCGCAGGGGCTTTCCTAGGGTTGGTGTCACCCGGTGCGGTAACACTTGGTGTCACACCTCCGATGATCCCCGCAGGATGGATCGGATCTGCGGATTGAGCATAATGGATCGGAGTCTGATCTATTATGCTCCCCAATCCGCAGATCCGATCCATGCTGCGAGGATCATCAGCTCGCAACCTAGACAGGGTTAACTGATCTCTCCATGAGCTCCATGAAAAGGTAAGTTTAAAGCAAGCCAACGATCCCTGCAAGATGGATCGGATCTGCGGATTGGGGAGGATAATGGATCGGACTCCGATCCATTATGCTCAATCTGCAGATCCAATCCATCTTGCAGGGATCGTCGGCTTGCTTTAAAATTTACCTTTTCATGGAGCTCGTGGAGAGGGTCCGGTGTCACCCCCGTGCAATAGGTGTCACTCGGTGCGGCGCGCGCACCCCTCGCACCTGCCTAGGGACACCTCTGAATTGGCGTTTATGAATAATCAGGCCAAATTTAAAGTGGTATTAAACCCAAAAGCAAACATCTATTATATGGCAGCTTACCAATTCTTAGATGTGATGGCTGCATTAGTTTTTCTTTTATAGGCTTTCTTTCTTCTATTTTCACCTGCTGATCCAGCCAGTAAATCTGTTGTTGTTCTACAGTACAGCTATCCTGCAGTTAGAATTTTGAGACTAACAATTTACCACTGACAGGGGTGCTTACATCGAACAGCTTTTATTTATTTATGTAAAACCTTTATTCCAAAAGTAAAAAAAAAATGTTGCTGTAACTGCTTCTAAAGTTCAGCTTCAAGTGGAGTTCAGCTTCAATTTCTTAGTGTGTCTAAATCTGCTAGTCCATCTAACCACTCCCCTCCCCCTCCCCCCTGACTGACAATGCTGCTGTTCAAGTCTGCTCCCTGTGCTCCTTCATCCAGAGTGGGAACCAGGGGCAAACTGACCATTTGGAAACTCGGGCACTGCCCGAGGGCCCGGGGTCAGTAGGGGGCCCTATGAGATGCCCCTGGTACCTTTTGTCATAGGATTTTTTGAGTTTGGGCAAGGACACAGGGGCCCCATGATCCCCTATTGCCCGGGGGCCCCATGAGTTGTCAGTCCGCCCCTGGTGGGGACACTCTAATACAGAAGGTGTGTTACTGGCCAGATCCCCAGGTGAAAAACAGAGGGGTAAGAGCTTTAAAAAAGAAAACTAATGCAGCCACCATATCTAATGATTGCTAAGCTGCGATATATTACATTTTTGGTTTTGACATACCACTTTAACCTTATAATATGTTGTAATAATAAAAAAAATTGAAGTGCTATTACAATTATTTATTTTTTATTGGTATGGGGGCAGCACAGTGGCTAAATGGTTAGCACTTCCACCTGGCAGTACTAATCCCAACCACAGCACTACCTGCCTGGACTTTGCATGTTCTCCCTGTGCCTGTGTGGGTTTCCTCCGGGTACTCCAGTTTCTTCCCACACTCCAAAGACATGCTGTTAGGTTAATTGGATCCTGTCTAAATTGTCCCTAGTATGTGTATGTATGAATGTGAGTTAGGGACCTTAGATTGTACACCCCTTGAGGGTTAGGGACTGATGTGAAAGAACAATATATATGTAAAGTGCTGCGTAAAATGACAGCGCTATATAAGTACATAAATAAAATAAATAAAAATAAAATATAAGTACCAGTAGTAAAAAAATTGTTATTGTATTATATGCAGGGAATAAACTGATACTAATACTGTGACATGTTGAAGTCACATTCTATTTTATTGTGCACCATGCAGTGTAAAGTGTTAATGAGTATTTTGTACTTTGATCATGAATACTCTGTATACTATAATGATCAGAGTATATGCTGGTGGCTTATTGAGCATGTCGAGCTCTTCACTGTCACATCACTCCGGACAGAGATGTGTGTGCAAGTGGATAATAGCCATGTAGACGTCACCCCTTCTCTTTGATCTGTGTCTCCCCAGCACCCCGTTCTCCTCCCACTCTGGGAGTTCAGGTATATAAGAATGTGGGCTCCAACCTCATGACACAACTACCGTCTCACAGTCCCAGTGTGGAGAATTACTGAGCATCAGAAGAGAAGAGAGAAGATCAGGGCTGCAGACAGTGCAGAGGATGTAAGTAAATGCAACACTTTCTACAGCTTTGCACTGATACAAGGGCCATAGGCACTTTTTTCTATATGATTTATATATGTGTAGCTGTCAGGGTTGTCCTTGTGACATTTGCATTACTGCTGTTTCTGGGTAATTAGAACTGAGCCACTGCTAGGTGAGGTTCTTCAACCCGACAAAAAAGTCCATCTTCACTTGTAGTGACATCCTGTCCATTTTTCTGACCTTCTAGGCAGAAACTAGTACTGTGCCAGGGTGAGAATTATGAGCACTTATAATACGCAGGCTGTCATTGGCGATCACCTTCAGAAAAAGATTTCTGACCCGGCTGTCATGCTGATCCACCCTCATCAACTCTTTTTTGAGTTCCCGATCTGTCACATGGGGGAAGATCAGCAATTCTGATTAGATGCATACTTGTTACGGAACAGAAAGAACTGAATGGGGTCCTTGAATGAAAGTCCGCATCTTTGTTTTGCTGTTTCTGCTGCAATGGGACAACTCACAGGTGGTTTTGCTCTTAAGTCCTCATGCACACTGGACTTTTTTTACAGCGGCTGTTTTTGGCTTTTTACGTTTTTTTTCTACAGCTAGTAAACCCCCCAGCATAATATCCTATGTGTCCATGCACACATAGACTGTAATCAACATTTTTTTGGCTTTTGACATTTTTCTCTACAGCTAGTAAACCCCCCAGCATGATATCCTATGTGTCCATGCACACATAGACTGTAATCAACATTTTTTTGGCTTTTGACATTTTTTTACAGCTAGTAAACCCCCCCCATTGATATCCTATGTCTCCATGCACACATAGACTGTAATCAACATTTTTTGGCTCAAAAAAACACCCAGGACTAGTGGGTTTCTAGAGGAGTTTTTTAGCTGTAAAAACACTCTAACGCTGAAAAACGCGGCAAAATGCTGCAAATCGGCATTTATGGATGTTTTATTGACCAAAAAAAAAATTTGGGGGGGTTTAAAAAACCCACTAAAAATGCTAAAGAATGCAAACGTGGGAAAATGCTCCTAAACATGGCAAAATGCCAATGCAAAAACACAAAAAAAAAGCAGCAAAACACAGGTTTTTAATGTGACTTTACACAGCTAACGTTACCAGCGTTATCAAAATGTCAAGTGTGCATGAGGACTAATGCTTTAGGCTGCATTCACACTTGAGTGTTTTGTAGCTTGAAGCTCAAGGCTGGAAGCTCCAAAAACACTCAAACTTAAAAAATGAATTGTTCTCTATGGTGACTGTTCACACCTGATCACATGAACAGGTACTATAGAGCAGCATTTCTCAACCAGGGTGCCCAGGCACCCTGGGGTGCCTTGAGGTATCTTCGGGGGTGCTTTGGCACATTAGATGAGTGATGGAGAAAAACTGAGGGAGAAGAGAAACATTGGAATACTAGTCAGTACCAGTGTGCAAAAGTGCAGTTGCTTTGGAAGAATAAATCACCTCTAATGTTGGGTGTCCTATGTGTGTGGATGCTGCTGCGTTTATATAAAACTATTAGAATAGTTTTTCACATTTTAGAATGGGGTGCCTCAAGACTGTCCATAATTTTAAAGGGTGCCTCAAGACTGTCCATAATTGTAAAGGCTGACTCAAGACTGTCCATTTGTAAAGGGTGACTTAAGACTGTCCATAATTGTAAAGGGTGCCTCAAGACTGTCCATAATTGTAAAGGCTGACTCAAGACTGTCCATAACTTGTAAAGGGTGACTCAAGACTGTCCATAATTGTAAAGGGTGCCTCAAGACTGTCCATAATTGTAAAGGGTGCCTCAAGACTGTCCATAATTGTAAAGGGTGCCTCAAGACTGTCCATAATTGTAAAGGGTGCCTCAAGACTGTCCATAATTGTAAAGGGTGCCTCGGGACTGTTCATAATTGTAAAGGGTGCCTCAAGACTATCCATAATTGTAAGGGGTGCCTCAAGACTGTCCATAATTGTAAAGGGTGCCTCAAGACTGTCCATAATTGTAAAGGGTGCCTCAAGACTGTGTCCATAATTGTAAAGGGTGCCTCAAGACTGTATATAATTGTAAAGGGTGCCTCAAGACTGTCCATAATTGTAAGGGGTGCCTCAAGACTGTCCATAATTGTAAAGGGTGGCTCAAGACTGTCCATAATTGTAAAGGGTGCCTCAAGACTGTCCATAATTGTAAAGGGTGCCTCAAGACTGTCATAATTGTAAAGGGTGACTCAAGACTGTCCATAATTGTAAAGGGTGCCTCAAGACTGTCCATAATTGTAAAGGGTGCCTCAAGACTGTCCATAATTGTAAAGGGTGCCTCAAGAGTGTCCATAATTGTAAGGGTGCCTCGGGACTGTTCATAATTGTAAATGGTGCCTCAAGACTGTCCATAATTGTAAAGGGTGCCTCCAGACTGTCCATAATTGTAAAGGGTGGCTCAAGACTGTCCATAATTGTAAAGGGTGCCTCAAGACTGTCTATAATTTTAAAGGGTGCCTCAAGACTATCCATAATTTTAAAGGGTGCCTCAAGACTATCCATAATTTTAAAGGGTGCCTCAAGACTATCCATAATTTTAAAGGATGCCTCAAGACTATCCATAATTTTAAAGGGTGCCTCAAGACTGCCCATAATTTCAAAGGTTACCTTGGGACTGCCCATAATTTTAAAGGGTGCCTCGGGACTGTCCATAATTTTAAAGGGTGCCTCGGGACTGTCCATAATTTTAAAGGGTGCTTCGGGACTGTCCATAATTTTAAAGGGTGCCTCGGGACTGTCCATAATTTTAAAGGGTGACTCAAGACTATCCATAATTTTAAAGGGTGACCCAAGACTATCCATAATTTTAAAGGGTGCCTCGGGACTGTACATAATTTTAAATGGTGCCTTGCCTTAAAAAAGGTTGAGAAACACTGCTATAGAGGACAATTGATTTTTTAAGTTTGAGTGTTTTTGGAGCTTTGAGCTACCAGCTACAAAACACTCAAGTGTGAATGCAGCCTTAGGTAATGTTTATGTATGTCTTACCATTGGTGCTCTCATTCACTAATGTAGGACTGTATGAGACAGAGGTGGCTTGCAATGCTGCACAGTTTCCAAATGAATTTGCAAATACACTCACTGGCCACTTTATTAGGTACACCTGTTCAATTGTTTGGTAATACAAATTGCTAATCAGCCAATCACACGATACCAACTCAATGCATTTAGGCATCTAGACATGGTGAATACGACTTGCTGAAGTTCAAACCAAGCATCAGAATGGGAAGAAATGGGATTTAGGTTGAACATGGCAAGGTTGTTGGTACCAGACGGGCTGATCTGAGTACTTCATAAAACTGCTGATCTACTGGGATTTTCACACACAACCATCTCTAGGATATACAGAGAATGGTCTGAAAAAGAGAAAATATCCAGTGAGCGGCAGTTGTGTGGACGAAAATGCCTTGTTGATGTCAGATGTCCGAGGAGAATGGACAGACTGGTTCTTTGACATTCTAGGGTCAGAATTTGGCATAAACAACATGAAAGCATGGGATCCATCCTGCCTTGTACCAAGGGTTCAGGCTGGTGGTGGTGGTGGTGTAATGGTGTGGGGAATATTTTCTTAGCACTAGCAAGGTGTACCTAATAAAATGGCCAGTGAGTGTATCTATAGGTTAAAAAAGTGCCAAAACCTTTTGAAGAACCCCCGTATATCCATGCAATGCAATGATGGTGGCAAACAAGCCTGAATCAGCTTTATGCAGTTTGGAGTAAGTGTCTCTATAATAATAGGCTGTACCTGTGCTTTACACCAGCAGTTCTAAGACAGCTTATGGGGTGAAGAGGAATGATGTGCATGGCTCTGCCCACTAGACCTCATAACGAGGAATAATCCACTTGGTGGAATGAGAATATGTTCTGTTCTAAGAAAACTCAAGTCTGCTACCATTAGTTCACTGGAAGGAGTTTAAGTCACTTTTCTCCATAACCTTCCAGGTTTTACTTTCTTTTAAACTTGGAAACACATTAGACAGGTCCTCTTTGACCACCAATGTATTAATTTCACTGATCCCCCTCTTCATGAAATAATATTGGCAAAGGTTCCATGAGACCTGAAAATTTCAAGGGCTTCACTGGGATAAAAAGGTTGAAAATAGCTTCTTTTAGTCAAAAAACAAACAAAATATTTGTTGATCGTTGAACTGTTTATTTTTCACATTATTTGTATGCCGGCTACGACACCATTTTCATGTCGCAATCAAAAGTGCCTGATCCAACATGCTCTGATTTTTTTTTAGAAGAAAAATGAAACAAATGGTGTACAAACGTATGAGCTATTATCATCTTTTGATCAACAGAATGTTCGGTTTTCAACTCGTCTATGGCTGGCTTTAGGCTCCTTTCACATGGGCAGCAAAAACAGGTGGTTGATAAACTTTTTTACCACCCCTAACCACTCACATAAACAGAAATGCAGCCACTTGGGGCTGCTCACTACCATGGCAAAAATTAAATGGCATGTCATGCTTGGCTGGTGATACCCATGACCCATTAAAGTGAATGGGGACTTCATCTCCAATGCAAAATGTTGCAACTCAAAACCTAACTCTGGGCACAATAAATGCAGTTATAGATTCCACTCTCAATTACAAAAATTGCGCATGGGATTTTAGAGAGACTGCACTTTTTAAACAACACCAAGTAAAAAGAAAATTCTACTCACATACAAATATGATTACAAACATAATAAGATGCCAAAAGGCTAGTTGCATGATAATGTATACACAGGCTATAAAATGATATCCTGATACGACGCGTTTCATGAAGCAGCATTCACTTCCTCAGGAGACAGTGGTTTTTCCATAGGATATCTGTGGGGAGGCCATGACAATAATAAAACAAAACACTGTGGGAACCTCACAAAAACTGCATGGTCAAAAAGACCATGCGGTTTCCGTGCAGATGCATTTTGGAATTGATGCATGCACCTTTTCCTTGCGTGAAACATAGGCACAGCGCCCCATTGAAATTAATGGGCTGCAGCCCCCACTAATCTGAACCAGGGGTTTCTGTTCTGGGGATGCTGTGCTGTTGGGATTTGGGTGCAGGTATCTCTTGTTTGTTTTCTGTTCTGGGGATGACCCAAAATTTGGGAGTTTTACTTTCATTTACTTTGATAATGATAAACAAGACAAATAGAGAGGGGGAATCGCCCTAATGGTGGCACAGGCTGCAAGGAAAATCTAACAGGTATTTTAATCCACCTCCACTCTGTCCAAAACTAGAAAAAAAAATCACATTTAGTGAGACTTTAAATATATGTGTGTCCTAACCAGGGGTGGACTGACAACTCATGGGGCCCCAGGGCAATAGGGGATCATGGGGCCCCTGTGTCCTTGCCCAAACTCAAAAAAGCCTATGAAAAAGGTACCAGGGGCATCTCATGGGGCCCCCTACTGACCCCGGGCCCTCGGGCAGTGCCCGAGTTTCCAAATGGTCAGTCCGCCCCTGGTCCTAACAAAGAGTTAATTTGGTGTTAAACCCAAAAACATACAATATATTGTAGCTTACCACTTGACAACCTGCCACAGTAAAAATACTGCGGTGGGGTGGCGCATGCAGACACAACCACGTACATGAACATGATTGTGCCTGCATGGGCTAAGGGGGGTGCTGTGCCCAAACAACCCAGCCTAGGATAGCGATCACATGAACACAATGTCAACAAAGCTGTTATGAATGAATCTCACTCATAACGGCTCTGCTTCCTATACTAGTGAGCTGTGGTTGGCTCACAGCTATCACATGGTACCTGGGTCAATCGCTGCACCCCGTACCATGTGATTAGCTGTAGCCAATCACAGATCACTAGTAATCACAGCTGTCATGAATAAAACTCATTCATGACAGTTCAAAGCATTGCTGGTACAATGATCTCCATCTACACTGATGAAGTATATGAAAAAAAAAAAATATATTGAAAAACCGCCACACCAGTCATATGATGACGCCGTACTGCGCTGGTGACAGTATGTAAAAACAGTCATAACAGCTTTGCTTCCTATACTAGTGAGCTGTGGTTGGCTCACAGCTATCACATGGTACCTGGGTCAATCACTGCACCCTGTACCATGTGATTAGCTGTAGCCAATCACAGATCACTAGTAATCACAGCTGTCATGAATGAAACTCATTCTTGACAGTTCAAAGCATTGCTGGTACAATGATCTCCATCTACACTGATGAAGTATATGGAAAAAAATCTTAAAAAAAAATATTAAAAAACCGCCACACCAGCCATATGATGACGCCGTACTGCGCTAGTGACAGTATGTAAAAAACAAATTGTGAATGACGCCGTACTGCGCTAGTGACAGTATGTAAAAAACAAATTGTGAAAAAAAACTAATTTTATTAAATTTCTTCATTTTCCATAAAATTGTGACAAAAAAAAATGAAAACTTCAAAAAACTCACTATGCTGACTTCCACCAGCCAATCAAATGCTGTTTTTTTTATTGTCCTTGCATGTGATTGGATATTCTTGGCAAAGTGAAGTTTTACCTCATTTGCTAAGCTCTGGAGCAACTGCACTTACAAAGTGCACAGTCTTTTTGCCTTTAGTAAATCAACCCCTGTGTCTTTTCTCTGAATAAAGTTTCTTTGTTGCCATGAAGCAGTAAAGCAGAGTGCACTGTCTGTTCTGTAGGGCTACATTCAGAATTTCTAACACAGCTTCCTGCGCAGTGCTGTATCTCCATCCTAATTCAGCTGTCAGCCGAGAGATTCCCCGGCCAAAAGTTAAATGTAAGCCAAAGGGCCGGGGATACTGCTGATGTCATTACCCAAATATGGACAATGCCCAAATTTGGGAAATGCCTTGTCACTGGGTAGGCGGAGCCTGATGGTGGGGAACTAGTGTCTCCAAAGTCAGGGAATCTCAGGTTGTCACCAGGGTCACCAGAACTATTGTCTCCATTGCAAGATTTCACCACTGTTTTGGTATCAACCCAAAATCTGGGATTTTCTTTTATTTTCCCTTTTGATTAATACAGGACAAATAGAGAGGGTGAATCTCCCTAATAGGGGTACAGACAGCAATAAAAACCTGACAGCTGTTCTAATCCATCTTCCCTTCTAATAATAATAGTAATACTGAAAAAAGTAGTTTTGCCTTCAGTTACACTTTAAATAAATAAATAAAACTAATGCAGCCACCACATTTAAGAATCGGTAAGCTGCAAAATAATGCATTTTGTTTTACCAGTTGCTGACTGTCCCACAGTAAAAATACTGCGATCCGGTGACTCTTCTGTGCCGCACTGCGTACATATACAAGATCCGGCTCCTGTGGGTAGGGGGCGCATATGCGCATCCGCCTCCCCAGCTATGCTGCCATTCGCTCCAGCATATGCCAATCAGCATGTTCTGGCCAATGATTTATGGCCAAAACCCGCTGATCGACATAGCAAACCACAGGAGAGAGCTCTCTATTGACAGTAGCGATGTGCCATTTTCTTTTTCTTCCTGCAAAGCAGGGAGTAAAATCCAGCACGTTGCTTAGTGAAAACATTTAACACATTATACATTGTTAGGCACACAGTTAACCCTTTGATTGCCCCTAAATGTTAACCCCTTCCCATTCCCAACTGGAACGCATCAAAATTAAAAAAAAAAAAGTCCTGGATTCTTTCTTGGATACACAGAATATAACTGGATACTAACATTTATAGGTAAAGTTGATCCAGGGAATATCCGATTGCCTCTCGGGGGATCAGGAAGGAATTTTTTTTCCCAGCAGGAGCAAATTGGATCACCCATACCCCCACAGCAGTAATCTGGTGCTGCGGGGGTTCATTCAGCTGCTGGTCCTGTCATACGCAGTCATTAACAGTGCTTACTA